GGCCTGTAATACTGATTCTTCACTGCAAGCTTGAATGGCTGGTTTCTCTGGAATATTGGTTGTATCCTCTGGGCACTTTCTGTGGTATATCTAGGACCCTGTTCAATTCCTGGATAGCTTTCATGTCTCCATGTGAGGAGGATACTGACCTCAGCAGCTTATTGTTATTCTTTGTCTGAAAGCACAGCCAAGGTATCATGTTTTCTCCGTAGTCCAACATCATCTCTGGCCTCTGTCGGCCCTGTCGCATGCATGCTTTGTGTTCATTGTCCCATATTAAGTCGTGTCCACTTGTTTCATTGTGAACCTAACGACTGTGATATAATTTGATCCACTGATAGAGCCCAGAAACATTTGTGCAAAAAGGTGACTGTTCAGCAGCTTTCGCGTTTGATATGTCTGTGTTCAGAATATAATATGATAAACGGGATACAGGGACAAGAACTGGGGAGTCTCTTACCAGAGGGTACAGTACACGAGAGTAAAGTGTTGCTGTTTTGTAGCATGTGGGCAAGTTCTAGGAAAGGCGATGTTGTTCACTGCAGCCTGTTTGCTAGAACCAGATTATCTCCGTATTGATTAAATGCTTGTTTTATTCTGAAAGGTGATTAGAGGTCTGTTGGATTAATCCAGGAATGAGAAAGTGACCGATTCATGACTATAGGCTAGAAAGCACGCAAAAGAAACTGGCCTGTGCCGCTTGAATCCACGTGTTGATTTCTTTGCAAAGTAGTTGGTGTGGATATGTTTTCCTTGTGTTTGAGGCATCAGAAATCTCCACCTTGCCTTGCATGCTTTGAGAGCTGTTGTATCGCTGGTGCTACCAGGTGCTCTTGCAGTAAAACTAGCTTGAAGTAAATACATTGTAACTCATTTCAAAATTAATCACTTGATAAGGCACTAATATCTTATTGACCTAGGGATTTTGATTGCACGCTCTGAATCTGTACTAGTTTAAAGTCCATTTTGGTGCCAGGTGGGTTTCTAATCCAGACCAGCAGTTTCCTTGCGTCTTGCAAATCACACTGTCAAAGGCAGACTTCTTGGAAGTAGGGTCTAAAACTAAAAAAATAATGCATAGTATGCAACACTAGTTAATACGCTGATTTTTGAAGTTGCTTTCTCACAGTTTAGGGTGCATGTCTTATTCCTTTAATCCAGTCTAACTGGACTGCTTTTGAAAGAAGTGGACCTGCTCCATCCACTGTCCTTTCTGGCTCACTTCCTCACTAGGGATCTAAAATGGCCAAGACAAGTCAGACTAGTTTCTTTACTCTACAAAAACAGAGTTGCCTGAGTGTTCAGTAGTGTTACGGTTCCTGAAAGGAATTATTATATGCCTTTGCATGTTGAGACTACTTCGGGTTAAGACTTTCTGATTATCTGCTTAGATACTGTTTTGTGGAGGTACTTTCCTTCTCTTTCCTTCCAATCTTAGGTGGCAGTGGCAATGTATTCTATACCTTCTTCTTGCCTATGGAAGGAAATACACTAATGCCATAAGTAACATGATATGAAATCACCCTGAGCTGCTGTACTTAGATCAAGATTTAGCTTTACTGCTTGCTGCCTGCATACTACTGCATGTTTCTGAGCTCTTAGGCCAGATACTGTCTGTTCTGTTACATCCCAATTTTTGTGTTTCTGATTATACCCCAAGATCTGTAGATTATAATTCAGACAAACTTGCAGGACGATTCTGCCTCCTTCACATTCCCAGAAGTTTTATTTTGTTATTAAGAAATCTTCACGTGCATTTCCTTAATGAGAGATTGTAAGGCTAGCAGTGGACTCGGTGTACTGGAAAGTCAATCAATTCTCTAGATATTTATCGCTGTTGTCTTAAGCCGTGTGTTTGGCTCTTTTGTGCCACTATTTTTACGCAGTCTATGAGCTGCCTGGCCCAGCCTTGCTAGGTTTTGGATTGTTCATAGGTAGAACTCTCTGCAGTGGGCTTTAGGATAACATGTTATATGTAAAAGACTGTGAAATTTATTGCAACTGTTGCTGGATGCACCCTATGTCTTACTGATCTTTATGGTGTTTTGAGACTGTTTGTGTTTCAGCCATGTATCTGAAAACTTCTGCCTCCCAGCAGTAGACTAAAAATTTAATTTTCATAGTTGACCAGAGAACTGTAGGTTTTTTCTAGTTTTGTTGTTTATCTAGTGACTGAAGGGGACTTTGAAGTTTTGTTTCAGGAAAAGACTTACAAAAAGAGTGAACTGACACCAGAATATTGCATTGTTGGTATTTACTACTTACGACTTTGTCTTACAGCTGGTAGTATTTTATGATGAATCTTCTACTGTGTATTCTCTAGGATTAAAAATCCTAACTAGTTAGCTTTATATGGAAAGAAGAGTTTACATCTTTTTAATGTAAAAATCTAATCCAGTAAAGATTCTCTGAACCATTTATTTTGGGGTTTGTTTTCTTTGATTTTTTTTGTGTGTATTTGTTTGTTTTTAAATGTAACTGTGGATTTGTTGTGTTTTGACACATTACTAAGAGGGATTAAAACCACTCTTACTTTTTTTGACATTTTTCTTCCTGTTCACGGGTGGCATCTTCTCCTCAACAGCTGTTTCCCAGTCTGCAGGTGGGAGGTTGCTGCCATTACGATTGTGTTGTAGGTGCAGGGTTTGTGCTCGTTCGTGTTCTTCCCAGAGACTTAGCTTTCATTTTCAATTTTGTTCATCATTAAGGAGGTGGGTTTTTTTCTACAGACTAACTTGTGAATTACTGATAGTATTTTTTTACTCCTTCCTCACTCGTGGGCTGTTTGTCAGGTTATTAGCCAGAGTGCTTTCTGGATGTAGTGTATCAACAACGCCTATTAAAGGTATCCTAACAGACATCTCAAGATGCCTACTGAAGCAATTTTAAACTCATGTATTTTTTTGATTGCTTTCTCCATTTCCTTGATCTCCCCTCTAATTTAAGGGTCTCTTCCACTGTAACTCTTCCCATGTTTGCCAATATTTAGTTCTTAAGTTTAACTACCGTGCATTGTAAGGTGATAATTTTGGGGATTGGGGATTTGGGTGCTGGTTGAGGGGTGT